TCAAAGATGCTTTGGTCGGCGAGGTCGAGGTAGTGGTTGGTCTGGGACTTGTTCGAGGCCGAGTAGCGCGGCGCGACAGTCTGGATGTGGAGCATGTCAGATGTGGTGTGGTGCTCGAGTCAAAAGGAAGAATGGTGTCGTGGGCAGTGGCTTCCGGAGCGCCTTGATGATTGCGCTGGCCTCGGTGCTCATCGCACAGAGATTACGTTGGTGCTGCGATGGTCTTCGTCGCCACGTCATGTGCGACACGCGGAACATGTCCCAGTATACTCTCTGTGGTATATCAAAAGGTGCGTAAATGAGACGAAAAGGAAAAAAATTGATCCGCTGAAGACAGAATGGAGAACCTGAATGGGAATGACGGTCCTTGTCACAAGATTGCGGCAGCCAGTGCTGGATCCCGTCATGCGATGTTGTGACCCCATCCCTTTCTCTTCTTCGCCGTTCGTAGACAGAGAAGACGACGGCGAGCTTCGTTGAAGGTGCTCATTCATCTCAGGCAGCTACCAAATTGTTGAGGAAGGTCTTCCGTGGATGTCTACGTCGACGTCCATGAGGGTCGGAGGCAGCCGTCGGAGGCTGGTCTGCGCACCTCGACAAGGGACCCACTTGCTTCAGGATGGCAAGTCGGATGATGATGTCAAAAGATGGTCTACGTCCCATCCAATGCTGCGTCAACCGTGTCAAATCACTCGGACGACAACAGCAACGAGCCGCGAGGTATCGCGTCAACGGGACTGTCTCCGTTGGCGACGTTAACGCTAGCCTGCGCCTTGCGTAATAGTGTTGTATAGCGCATTCTCATCCATCGCGTTATATACATGTCGTTGGACGACTCGGTTTCTAGGGCTACTCTAACGGCGGTGACGCAAGGTCACGAGCACGGGGAGGTGAATGTCCGGGTCCAACCGCGCATCGGCGGCCGCACGCGTCGCGTCGACGATCGCGTCAAACCCCGATGTTTGCACCTCGACTGTAAAGAGCGCGGTGGCCTTGGCGAGGAACCGATCGAGGGACCCGCCGCGCGTCGGCTGCACAAAGGTGGCGACGCCGTCAACAGCGAGAAGCGTCCGAAGCGTGTGGAGCAGGTCGTCGTGGTAGGCTTCGAAAAACACACAGTCGCTTGCAACAATGACGTCAAAGAGAGGCGACGACGGCGGCGATAGATGCCGGCTCCACTGCAACAGCGCCGTTTCGACCGGGCGTCCGAGCCGAGAGCGATTCATGGACGCGATCCGCGTGAGGTTTTCGACACACATTTGGTTGCCGTCCGTGATGGTGACAGACGCGACGACGTCGCTGGCACACGCAGCCGCCAAGGCAAACCCGGCGACGCCACACATGCCGGCGCCGAGCTCGAGCACTCGCGCGGGCCCACCTGTCCGCGATGGCAGCGTTCGGAGCAGATACCGCAGGGCAATGTCTTCGCTCGGCCACGTGCGGATGTTGCCCGTGTTGTCGACATCGCGGATGGCAAGCTCGTGCAGTGAGACGTGGGCGGTCTCGCGGCGCTGGTGCAAGAGGATCGAGGCGCCACCACTCGGAAGCGTATACTCGACCCAGTCGTAGCCAACGTCCGGCGTCGCACCGGCGTAGACCGTTGGCCGGGGCACCGCCGGGTCATGGAACTGGAAGATAGACATGGCGGACGACGCTGGCGCTGGCGTCGACGCCGTCACGATCGCGCGGCGCAGGAGCGCCCATCGCGCCTTGCTCGTCTTGCCTGCTGGCGGCGTCGCCATTGTTGGATTGTCGTCAATGGGCACATTTCATTGGTCAAAAGTCAGTAGAAAGGCGTCGTTCCGACCAATCCACATACGGCAAAGTCAAAAACGTGGCGTGAAACCTACGCGAATACCCACATGAGCGACGACCTTGGGACCGTCAAGTCGCTCAGCCGCCGGCGCCGATGCATGCCCTACGCAGGCTTGTATGTGCTCATCGCCATGGGGCTCGTCGGGTGTCTTACGCTGGCTTTGCACCTACCGTCCATGCGACAGCACCACGCTGCCCTCTCGACTAGCTCCAAGTGGACACGCGAGCCAGCAGCGGTGTACGAGCAAGTGGCTTTGCGCAGCCCGTCGACGCGCAATGTCGAG